CCGGGCGATGTCGCGCGGCCTCGGACGCCAGGACTACCACAGGTCGAGCCGGCCCGAAAAGTGCCGAAAGAGGTGGGGTCTCGGGCCAAGGCTTCGGCCGTGGTCTCCACGATGCCGCTACATCTTTCGCAACGTCGGATCTCAGGGAGGAGGGTTTTCGGAAGTCTTCACAAGCCCTCGGCGGATTGAAAAAAAAAAACAAGGATTGGAAAACAAAACGAAGGATTGGAAAAAAACCTGTCGGCCTCGGAGTGCCCTCCAGCTGCTGCGCCTCGCCGAGGGCTTTTCCCGGGCGTGCCCGAGAGCGTCCCGAACGGGTGGCCGGGGTGGCCCGAGGTACGGCCCGAGGCCCGCCAGGCGTCGAGGGGGGGTAAGGACTCGGGGGAGCAGCAACGACCAGGGTGGCCCTCTTCCCCATGCATCCCCCCCCCCCTCTTCCCCTGCCTCATCATCCCCCTTCGTCCCATCATCATCCTCATCATCATCATCCTCATCATCCTCATCATCATCCTCATCCTCATCCTCATCATCATCATCATCATCATCATAATCATCATCATCATCATCATCATCATCATCATCATCATTATCATCATCATCCTCATCCTCATCATCATCATCATCATCATCATCATCATCATCATCATCCTCATCATCACCATCACCATCATCATCATCATCATCATCATCATCATCATCATCATCATCATCATTCTCGTCATCATAATTATCATCAACAACATCATCATCATGATCAGCAGCAGCAACAGCATCAGCATCAGCATCAGCATCATAATCACCATCAACAACAACATCATCAGCAGCATCATCATTGTCATTATCCCTTCCCCTTCCTCTTCATCCTCTTCCCCCCTGTTCCTCTTCCACGCACCCCTCCTCCTCATCGTCTTCCCAACTGTTCCTGCTGCAGTCGGGGTGTCGCGCTTTGTTTCGGACGGGCCCTGCTCGTCGTCCCCCATATTTTCTTGGTGCCTGGCAGATAGTAGCTGCCTGGCCCGGGACAAGATGGCACGCCGCTCATCCTGCAAAGGCTCCCTGCAGCAGCATGTGGGCTGTCATCCTCCTTGTCCTCACCCTCCTCCTGCTCTGGCAACTGGGCATTCAGATCAAAGGGTGGGCGAGGACAGCAGGGTGGTCCCAGGGTGGCGTGGCCCGTCGTGGCCTCGGGCTGCTTGCAAAACGTTCGGTCGCAGGCCAGCTGTGGGCGGCGGGCGGGATGGCGAGGCCTCCGTTTGCGTAGCCGCCGCCTCCCCGTCATGTTTGAGCCACAAGTGCGGCGGCTTGACATGGCGTTCACGGAAGTTTGGCCTGAATTCCAGGCGCCCCACACATGCCCATTGTAGTTTGCGCGGGGCAGTTCCGGCGTTGGCCCAGCAGTTCACCAGGCTTGTATTCATATTGGTCGCAGTTATCTTGGTTCTTTGCTGGCATAGTTTTTTCTCAGGCCTGTCTTCATCTTGGTCGCAGTCATCACTCTGTCGTAAGGAGGAAGACGAGGGCCAGACCAGGATGCGGAGGAGGAGGAGGAGGAGGAGGAGGAGGACTGCTTCACCGTTCCAGACATCCCAGATGGGGTCCGAGTAGACTGGGTCGAAGGATCGCGCCTCATCGCCGATGCGGCGCGATGTGGAGACCGATGGTCCCCCCCCGACGCATCGCCGACGTCGCCGATGCATTGGCGATGCATCGGGGATGCGGGCCGATCCTCCGACTGCACCGATTCGGGCCCCACTTTGGCGGCCTCCAGCCGCTCGCCCAGGGCAGGCTTGCGCTGACGACCACGCGGGCCTTCGGGTCTGCCCCCCCCCCCCCCGAGGCGGCAGTGTCGGCGCGCGGGCCGCGCCGAGCGCCGGGTCGCCGTGCACGGCGGCCACCACGGAAGCAGAGAGGGGCAGGAGGAGGAGGGGGGGCATTGAGGCGATTGCATGAGGGGCGTCACTGTTTCCCTTTCTCGGCTGCTTTTCCTCACCCGACAGGTGACGGTTGTCAGGTTCATGGGAGGGGGCTCCCGACCCGCCTCGGACAACTGGCATACCGCGTCCGCCAGGCCCCAAGACTGCTGGTGCTCCCTGGATACCCCGCCGCGCACCTTCGACGAATGTCGCCCGCTTACTGCGGCCAGGCCCAAAGTGCGCCGATGCTCCCTTGGTATCCCGCCTCACGTTCTTGGGTGGGGGCAGATCGAAGCACAATTGTCCTTCCCTGTTGTGTGCGTCGCGCGCGCCGGCGCGCTCAGTGTGGAATTCTTCCGCGTCTGAGTGCCCTCCGCCTCCTCCTGTCCTTCGCAGCCGCCATGTCTGTCTTCTTTCCCTCCTCCGGCATGCCGGCCAATTCCCGTTTCGGTCGCCCCGATCGCTCACCGCTAGTGCGGCTCTTCTGCCTCGCCGCCGACGGAAAAGTGCGTCGCGCGCCGCCGAATCACGTCTGTGCCCCCTCTTGGCGCACGGGCTGTCCTGTCGGAAGCCCCTCCCCTTGCGGCGAGAGCTCATTGCTTTCGCTCGGCGCCGGTGTCGTCGCCTCGCGGCGCCAGGGGGGGGTTCGTATGGGTGAGTTGGAGGACCTCTCGGGGGCATCAGCGGAGTTTCCTCGGGGGCGGCATTTCACCATCCCCAGGCGAGCACTGATTTTTGTGCCGTCGACGCTGGCTGTTTTGTCCCTCGCAGGGGCAGGGGCGCTGCGTGCCGGGGCTTCCCGGAGCACGGGTTCCCACCGAGCTGGCGCCTTGTATGCCCACTGCGAGTGTTGCTTACATTGCCTGTGCACCAGCGTTGGTTTTCCTCGCGGGGCAGGCGGGGGGTGCCCCGTCGGGGCAGAGGGGGGGGAGCCAGGAAGAGCCAAGCTGCTGGTTTCAACTTTCCCTGGAGCCTCCCGGGGTGCTGAGCAGGGGTGCCGAATGGAGGTGGTGGGTAAGAGTCTGCGCCAGTGAGATCGAACAGTGAATACATATGAGCGTGAACGAAGAGAGGCGGGGAGGAAGGGGAAACTGAGGCGTGACACGGATAACAAGAGCGCCGTGTGTAGGATAGGGAGAACACATATGATGCCCAGTGTCTGTTCCATCTCCCTTTTCCCCTGTACAGTTGTCTGCTCTCTCTACCAGCGAGACCCAGCTAGTTCCTTGAGCCGAAGACGGCTGCTTGCTGGCTGCCCCCCTGTATGCTGTTTGGCATGCCTCCACATATGCGAGCTCCTCCTCCTTCTCCTCCTCATGCCTCCCTGACACTTCGTGATAGATGGTCCTCTTCACCCGCATCACTCTCCCCTCTTACCCCATGTTTTCCATCACCACGCGTCCTCTTTTCCTCCATCCCCTCGCCTCGTGTCCAACCCATTCGCTCCTCCGCCCTTCGTCTACATGGATAACGCATCCTAGTCGCACCACCAGACGTGTCGGTAAGGCGGCCCGGCGTGTCGCTTGACGCTTTGCCATGACATTTGGATGTTCCAACAGCTGCGCTGATGGAAGGCAGGCCGTTTCCAACATCTGGTTTTGGCCATAACGTTGCGTACGTTCATCCTTAAGAAGCCCAGCAGTTACACATGCTGAGGATGGTCGTTCCCACAATGTTGTTATCCTTGGCACCAGGCGTCCACAAGTTACAACGGTGGAGGTCGGCTGTAATTCAAAATGTGATGCTCGCCTCAGAGCCGCGCGTCCTCTTGTTTGACGCTCAACAGTGGTTTACATAGGGGGTGGCTCCTTTTCAGAGCAATTCTTGCATGAGACTTCTTCAATGTTCTAATCTGGGGTTCAGGACATGTGCAGCAGATACACGGATTCGAGGCAGATGTTTTTTCACAACGGGGGTCTCGCGCGAGATTTCCCCATACATGGATCACGGCTGCACGGATGCGGATCGTTTGCCAATGCGGTTGCCTTTGTGGGCATGGTTTTGGCGTTAATGGAGGGCGCCGCTTTTTTTACGCAGTGCTCTCGC